GTGAGTCTAAGTGTGAGGGACAGATAAAACCAGCACACCCGCCTCAGGATGCCCACAACAGAAGGGTCAGATAGAACGTATCCAGTATGTCAACTATTTGAGAAAAAGCAGGAAGGTGTGTACCTTCTTCAACAAGAGTAGTTTACCACACACACACACACACGCACACACACGCACACACACGCACACACACACACACACACACACACACACACACACTGTGTACTGTATGTATTTGATATGCAGCGATGGATTTTCTGTTGGCTCCCAAGGTGAGCAGGATTTCACAGTTCTTGGGCCACAACTATGGGACAACCTCCCGCTAGTGGACAGAAGAGCTCCATCAACGGATGTTTTTAGGAGTTAATTAAAGACCCGATCCTATGCTGGAGTGAGTTTTGTTAATCTAATGGGTTTTAGATGCTGTTACTGCTACTGTTTGGAAATTAGGCTGTTTTTATTATGTCGGGTTTTTACTGTTTTTACCTGATACATTTTTACTGTGTATTTTACTGTATTGCATACAACACGTTGCACATTATTAATGCAGAAATATGTTTTATGCATAAATGATGGTGATGATAACGATGACTGCAGAGTTAATGTAGGTCAGAAGGTCCTTTAGAAGCAACAGATGGACATGGAGATGGGTTTTCTTCCACAAATGTTTTTGCACTGGTGCTTAAGGCTGCAAATGCTTTTATTAGACCAAGGAGTGGGGTTCACTGCAGAAACTAATCTGGTTCTGACTGGACCGTGTTGTGTGGAATGGAGAGGCAGTCCTTGGTAAGTATCAGAGGGTAAAGGTGGATTGAAAGCAGCAGAAAATATGCATTTATTAAGAAAATGACAACTAACAAAACAGCGAGCAGGAGGTGGGGGTGCAGAAACTGAAAAGTTAAACAAAATGCAATGATGATCTAAAATACAAATGTCCTCGGGACAAACACTGTCAGTGTTTAATCCCAGGGTAAAAACAAGGTCCAGAGAATGCCCCCTGGTGTGTGTGTGGGGCCAGAAACATGCAGAATAAATGTGAAAGAACCCATGAAGCTGGAAAAGCTCATTGCAAAGTGGTATGAGTTGTGTTTACCACTAGGGGGCAGTAAAAGATGAGAGCACATACTAAAGGTTGGTTTATGCTTGATGCGTCCGCGAGGTCTGCACGACTCCGCGTGGCAAAATTGCGTCATTTTAACAACCACGCCCCTCCACCGCGTCTCCGCACGGCCCAAACTTTCCGCAACGCGCACCTAGGAAAATTTCTAACCACGCGGGAGGTCTGACGCGGAAAAACATGGCGGACCGGCAAGAACTAGTATGGCAGAGGTTGGTAAATACAGACATTTGTATGATTCAGCTCTCAGAGATCACCGTGATCAACATGTTGTTAATAATTCTTGGAGAGAAATAGCTCGCACTGTCGGAAAAGACGAGGACGCTGTTAAAAATGCTGAAATGCCATGTTGTAAACAACAGTAATTTCTACTTCTACTATGTTGTAGTGTTGGATGCATGCCGTAGAGCTCCATGCTGCCCCCTACAGTTTGGGAGAATATTGGCTCACCGCAGAGACAAGCCGCACGAACCATAAACGCTGCGAGTTGTGAAGCACGTTCCATCCGCGAGCCGCATCACCGCGCGGAAAGCAAACGCGTCAAGCATAAACCAAGCTTAAGAGAGAAAGGTGCTTGAGTGGGAAGTTAACTCTTTAAGTGCCAAGTATCATTACTGACTTTAGCGAGCCACAAATATGATCCCTCATGAAGTTACTACTTTACACCAGATGATAGTGGAGATGTGTAACTTCAGGCTGAGCAACACTTAAGGGTGTGTTTATACTGAAAGTTTCAGAGTTTCGGAAGTTTGAAAAACTTCTCCCACCGAGAGGCTCCCGGTCGGAGAAACGAGGAGGCGAGTGCAGCACATAGAGAGCGAATATTAGAGGGATACAACTTATAATTGCTGGCATGTCTGGTCTTTGTTGAATGATCTCTTTGTCTGGTAATGATTAGCTCGGATTATGAAGCAGATGTCATGGCCTATGCTTTATTTTTCTATGCTAATTCAAACAATCAAGGTGTGTTATATAAAACCATAAATGCAGTGCTTTCCCCAGTTCAAAATCTATTTTCCTCTGTGTCCGCTGACTTGTGTAGCCAAATCCTGCAGTTTTTCTTAAATAAGATTACTGTAATCAGAGCTCAGATTCACCAAACCAACCATGTTCCTGATTCATTTACCCCCTCTTATGTGCAACTTCAAAGCTTTCAGCCCATCTCTTTGCCCTATCTAGAAAAAACTGTTGCAGCCATGAAACCCTCTGGCTCCCCAGATGATGTTATCCCACCTCGACTCCTGAAAGAGGTGTTTCCTTTAGTTAGCCATAGCGTGCTAGGCATTATAAATAGTAGCTTGACATTGGCTGAAGTTCCTCGTACCTTTAAACACGCTGTTCTACAACCAATCTTGAAAAAACCCGGCCTCGATCCCACCGAGTACTCTAATCTACGACCAATTTCCAAATTACCGTTTTTAGCTAAGGTCCTTGAGAAAATAGTCTATGCACAGTTGATGAAACATCTAAATGAATATCAGGTAATGGACACCTGTCAGTCTGGGTTTAGACAACAGCACAGCACTGAAACTGCTCACGTTCGGGCGTTTAATGACATTTTTCTGGCTTTAGACTCAGGTTTCCTTGTGGTTCTGGTACTTTTGGATCTATCTGCAGCATTCGACACGATCGATCATGACATTTTGATCACAAGACTTCACACTTGGGCTGGCATTTCAGGCACAGCCCTGGATTGGTTTAGGTCATACTTTTGTAACAGGTCTGCTAGGGTCATGTTGGATGGCTGTTCATCAGAGTCACAGCCTCTGCGTTGGGGTGTCCCACAAGGTTCAATTCTCGGCCCGTTACTGTTCAACCTCTATATATACCCTTAGGAGCCATTTTCAGAAAGCACGCTGTCTCTTACCATCTTTACGCTGACGACTGTCAAATCTACTTTTCATTTAAGCCAACTCAATCAACGAAAGTTCTGTCTGATTGTATCCTTGAGGTCAAGCAATGGCTAGCTGACAACTTCCTCCATCTTAAGGACTCCAAAACTGACTTAATCGTTTTCAGTCCTAACAGTATCACGGCAACTCATCAACCTGCCCTCAACTATCTCTCACCTAATGTATCCTCTGTGATCTCCAACCTTGGAGTAAAAATGGACCAGGCTCTGAAGATGGATGCCCAGGTCAATAACACAGTTAAATCGTGTTTTTACCAACTAAGACGCATCTCAAAACTAAAGCACATCCTGAGTGTACGTCTTCTGAAATCGGTGGTCCACACTTTTATCACCTCAAGGCTGGATTACTCTAACTCCTGCTTATACGGCATCAGTAAAGCAGCTCTCTCCAGACTTCAGCTGGTCCAGAATTCAGGGCTAGGTTGCTGACTGGAGCTGACAGAAGACAACACATTTCTCCAATTCTGAAATCTCTCCACTGGTTGCCTGTGCAGTTCAGGATAAACTTCAAAATTATTCTTCTCACTTACAAATCCTTGAACCATCAAGCTCCTCCATATCTGTGTGAACTTGTCCATTACTACAACCCGCCGCGTGCTCTCAGGTCTGAAGATAAGCTCCTCCTAGCTGTTCCCAATGCACGTTTAAAAAGCCGTGGAGAAAGGGCTTTCTCTGTCTGTGCACCCAAGCTGTGGAACGCATTACCACTGCTAGTGAGGCTAGCACCAACAGCTAGCATTTTTAAATCACGCCTGAAAACTCACTACTTCAACCTAGCTTATACCACATAATTATGAACCTCACTTACATCTGCACTGTTTATAAACTGACCCCACAATTATCGACTTCCGTATTATTGAGGTTCTTTGTAAAATGTTTTTTCCTATTTTTACTTCACCCTGTGTCTTAATGATTTTTTAGCTGTTATTTTTGGGAATTTTCTTGTATTTCCTTTTTATCTTTTATCTGTGTTCGACATGTTTATATAACGCCTGTTTAATTAACCAACATTTTTAGTGTACAGCGCCTTGTTGGGTTGTAATGCCTTGTGAATGCGCTTTATAAATAAAATTGGATTGGATTTTTATGGCACATTTGAAACACAAAGGCAACTCAAAATGCTTTACAGAAGCAAGAACAGCAAACACAGTAAATCAAAAGAAGATGTAGATATTAATTACAGATTCAACAAACAGATAAAAGATGTAATCAAACGTCATAAGTGGACAAATTTTAACTTTAACCTGTGACATGTGGACATTTCCTTCTTGTGCGGACATTTAGCTGGTCCACACAATGCTAAACTGGTTCCAGAACCAGAGCCATCCGTTGAGGTGAGTCTGACTATATCCGGTCGGAACCTCTCTTTTTTTATGTGGCCCGCGAGATGAATACCAAAAATATATTAAAACTGGCCCGCTGGCCGATTTTACCGCAAAGACTACAACTCCCATGCTTTGCGGCGTCAGCGCGGAGCCAAAGCGCCCCCTCCTTTGTGTTTTTTCCAGCGTCTGCTGCCGGTGTCTGCAGCTCCGCTGTCTCAGTCAAACTAAACACTCCTCTCACTCAGCTATTTCCCGACGTTGAAGCCCAGAAACGGAGATTCTAGCCGCTCAGTAATGTGTTCACGACTGAAAGAGAAAGTTTTCCAACTAACGTCCAGACAGAGCTGATATAACTCCAGCGAGCAGCGACACGCTCAAACCAACACGACTCTTTGGTTGTGTTTCCTCCCCGACACACAACAACGCGGTCAAGCTGATCAGACATGTTCATCAGCACAAACCTATGTGAGCACCTGTTGTCATCTAATGTTGTCATTATTATGATGAAGATGAACAAAACAACAGGAGTCTCCTCCTCAGCTCAGATCAACCCCATGATGCAGGTATCTGGCTGGAACAAGTGAGCATCACAGTAAACCAGTGGAGCAAACTGAGCTTTAAATATGTTGGTTTGATGCTCTTTTTC